GGAAGAATGGACTTTAAGACTAGGAAACCTGTTCATAGAATGTTCTGGAAGCAAAAAATATCAACAAAGAATTAATTTCTTGTTTGTTACTAGGACAAGCTAGACTAGTCCCAGTGCTGCTGGACTAACTACAGTTGGCTCGTTGTGCAAACCCGGAGGATTTACCAGCATTTGTTCACTGTGTTAGTAGATATAAATGAAGCGGATGTTTTATTGACCAGAATTCATATGTAACACTTAGTTTGTGATCCTGGCTATGAATGGTTGCCTTTGCGGTTATTTGATGGAGGATGTTTTTGACAAGCATGAGTTTTTTCTTTTGTGAGCAAGATGCAGATGTTGAGGCTGTAAGAAAATTCATAGCCCCGCTAGGTGCTAATCATAGTTAGGAGAACTAAAGACCTGAGTGGAAAATTAAGAATTTATACTGTTAATGATTAAGTGCCAGATTACATATTTCATTCTGTCAAAACAGCATCAGGATAACACTGTGGGGTTGGCTAAAAACTAAGGCGGGGGAATAAAATGCTTGCAGGATGCCAGTACCTCAGCCGTGGCAGTGGTGTAAGCTTCCAAAAGAAAATAGAAACCAAAGTATCTTATTTTCTTTCTCAAAAGGTCTGGTCTTGGCTCTGCTGACTTGCAGAGCGTCCTGCCGCTTTTGCTTGGCACGCAAAAAAAGCCCCTGAAAAACTCAAACCAGGTACTACAGCTGGAGCAAATGCAAAAAAGCCCTTGCGGTCAGTTAAGCTGTGATTGCTGTTATTATCCTGTTTGTGAAACCCTTCGTATCTTGTGGCCCCTGGAAAATCCGAAATACACAAGAAAGTGGCAGAATTAAAATGGAGCACAACAGGGCATGCAAAGTACGTTGCTCTCTACACAGAATTAATTCTGCAGGCCGAGCAGTGGCCGTACACATCTCTTTGATGGTCAGTGTGTGCATTTTGGTGACATTTATTTGTGGGAAGTATGCAGGTCTCTTCTGCTACCATCTGTCCAGCCTGTCTGAACAATTAAGGCAGCTCACCTACCATCGTCTTCGATGCAGTATGAAGCAACTGCAAGAGGTCACTCTTTTAAATGCTGATCATTTGCTGCCTAAAACCTGAAATATTTACATAAAACAAAATCGTAATTGTTTCACCATTTGTCTTCATTTGTTGTTTAAGCAAGCAAGGTTTGTAGCTCACGGGAAGGCATCTGGAGCGGCGAGATTTAGCTGATTACTGCGTATTCAGATGAACTGTGTATATTATGCATAGTGGTCCCTTGACTGGTGTTGGGCGGTTGGTTTTTTTTTTACCTTAAATCCAATCAATGCGACACTGGCGGCTTTTCATTAGCTGCTCCTGCTCTCCCGGTAATGATCAGGATGCAGAGCCTGATGGCAGTCTGTAACTTCTCCTGGTGCCCTGAAGCTCACCGTAAGCTGATTGACTCAGTTAGGGCCTCAGTCTCTAACAGCAAATGCAATCAATAAATCTTTGTTGGTAAATAATTGCTATTGAACAGAGTTTTAATATAAATTTATGAGTGCTGTTTTATCACAGCTTGAGGCTACGGCAAGCCACTGAGTGATGGATTTCAGATAACACTTACATTCATTACATTAACTTTGTAAGTTATTTAAAGCTTGTACACTTAACATTGCTTTTGGCTTGCAATGACCTCCTGGGACTAGATGTAGCATGCACATTACTAATAAAGAGCTTGCGGTACGTACAGACGGTTCCTCTGTTTGCTTTGTACAGTGATGCAGTTCCTGGAGCAAAACCCGAGGAGTGAAGTTCGTGCACTCTGGTTGAAGTCTTTTTCCTGTGGCTCATTAAAAGTACTGCTAGCGCAGGCTGGTAGGGGAAGCGTTCCTCCGTTAAGACGCAGAGCTGCAGTTTTTGGAGGGAAGGTGGTAAAAAATTTAATTTGAAGTGTGAAATTCTTCTCGGTTCGTTGAGGAAATTGGAGGTGTTAAATTCTTAGTGTTGAATCTGGAGGCTTTGGGTCTGCTACACCAAACTGCAGGGCTAAGGTTGCAGGTGGAAGACTGTAACAAATGAAAGATTTCATACAAGGAGAAATACTGTTATCCAATTGATGATAATTTGAGACAGAGATTATTTGACCAAAAAAAAATCAGTATTTTGAAGTCGAAGTTGATTCATTTAGCCCCTTACTGCAGTGCTTAGAGACCAGATGTGATTCTTCTGATGTGCTGTGCGTACTTGGGGGCCTGGTTGGCCGTGACTGGAGATGTGCCCAGGTATCTTGTGTCCCAGACCGAGTATCTGATGTGACTAAAATGAAAGGTCTTTTAGGTTTTTTTTTCAGTAACATGTCTTATCATATCTTGGCCTTTTTTATTTGTTTAAATTTAGTTAATGTTGAGGTGCATTTATAACTGATCTAAACTCCGATACTAAGAGAATTAATTTCTCTAGACCTTTCTGTATAATTACCACAGACAAAGGGGTGGTCTCTGACCTTGGGGGAAAAGAAAGTATGGTTTATGTGGGCTTCTCTGCTTCATAACACTTTAAGTTAGCTCCTTGTATTCAGAGCAGTTTTCTCTGCAGGTACTGGAGGATATTTTTAATTCTCACATAGTACAAAAATCTTCTTTTTTCCTAAAGAAAATGGATTGGGAAATCTGGTTTATTAGTTAGGCACAGATAGGCAGATGATAGGTATTTAATGCTGAGTGGTTTTTTGACACAAAAGCACAGAATTCCGCTTTAAAGGCAAGGTGAAATCCCATTTTTGATAATTTTCTTCATTTAAATCCGAACAAAGAATTTCATAATCCACACCTCTATGTCGTAGAAATCTCGATAGTAGTGGGTTTTTTCTATTGATTGAGTTTATAATTGCCATGAATTGAAAATTACGTAAGTAATGACACGTTTTCCGTATAGCAAAGGGATAGTTAAAAAGGTGTGAAATACGTATTTCACTTTCTTCAAAAGTTGAAAGCAAGGCAAGGGTGGAGGGGGTTGGAAATCACCGCTGTGATCCTTACAGCTTTTTTCTCATTAAAAGGTCTGAAGAACAAACCCGTGCAGGCAAACAGTAATTTTTGAACCCCACAGCACAGTGATAATTAGACTTGGGTCCCCCTAAACGCAAGTGAGCGTGCTGCAGGTGAGGTATGAAAGATGGGAGAGGTGAAGCGACAGATCACCTGCTATAGACAAACATACGAGTCAAAGGCAGAAATAAGCTTTCATTTTTTTGTAGAAGAAAACAACGTCTCTAACCGCTGGAAGACGGTAATTGGGATGTGCGAAGCGCACTTGCAGCAGCTTTTGTAAGAAGGCGTTTCAGAAACCCTGCTCTCTTGTAAAAGTTTGAGTTGTAGCAAGGAACACCACAAAAAAAAAAAAGATCTGACCCCTAGACGGTCAGAAAGTTCGGAGTTTGTACCGCTGTGTAATTCAGGCATCTGACACAAGCTTTTCTTTATGGTCCCATCCACAGATTGCTTTGAATCGCGAAGGGTTGTTCTCTGAAGTCTTATTCAAAGTGTGTGTCCAGGAACAGGCGGTCATGAACGTGGCTTTTCCGCTGGGATCATCTCTGCTGTTGCAAAGGGAGAGTTGTTAGTTCATGTGGATTGTGGTGAGGGCCTTCAGCTGAAATTTGTAACATCTGGAATGGAGGGAGAGAAAAATTTGTCCACCTCTGGAGGACTTCTGCTTGCGCAGAACTGCCCCTTGTCCCCTCGTGGCTTTGGGATTGGGTCTGCAGAGAGATTGCCTTGTAAAGCTGCAGGGTTAATGGGAGAACAGAGAGCATAACTTTCTTTCAAAGTTTTAACCCGCTTTAACAAGAACTCCATGGGAGTTGGAAGCACCGTGCTTGATGGCACATCTTTCTGTGTTCTGTTTTCTCTTTTTGTTAAGTTCCATGGAAAATGAGAATGGAAAAACCTTTTTTATGGGGATTAGAGAGCTGAAGTGTATATTGGTTTGGATTCCTGGTTATAATTTAATGAAATGAATAGAAGTGTCTGCTTTTATCGCAACTGGATCTCTGGAACTAGTGAGTCCCTGTGGTAGTACTGTACGTAGTGTCTCCATCAGGACATTTCAATCAGGCTTTGAGTAATCAAACTACTGTGTGAATTCATTAGGAACTGCCTTCTGACTTGGTTTTGGAAACTAAAATTTCCTAGGGAAGTGCATTGCTAAAGCATGGCTTGATTTACACCTTCACATGCAGTAGTAGTCCTCATCCATTTAAACGTGATGATGACCTTTTATCTCAACTGTTGATTGTTAGCATTCGTCACTGATGTTTAGGTTGAGTAGCATTTGTGAAAAGGTGACTCACCTTGCCCACCTCCTTTCCTCTGATCGTACCTCTTTCATTGAATTATCCACAGTTTATTGGAAAACTTGGTATTTGCGCTCTTTCCATCTTACTGCTCTTGCCTGGAATGAATAACTGGGAAGATTTCCATTGCATTGTCACCTTACTGCAAAGGGAATAAACGTGTGTTTTTCTCTTTCTGTGGCAAGGCTGAGCCTGGCCAACAAGGAACATGCTGAGCACAAGCCACACAGTGGGATCATCACTAAATGTGGGGCTCATAGTTTATTTTAGAGGGCTAGGAAATGCAACAATTGTGGTGTCTTTATCAACTAGGAGTGTGCATGGGTAACCTTACTCTGTGTCACATTAAAATGTGCTTTCCTGAGTCGTGGAATTCAGCACAAAAGGGTTTCCTTTACCTGTTGGATGAAGCCAGCACTGATACAATATTTCTGTTTACGTGACTTGCTTTGTGAAAGCTGCACTTAGAGCTTTTGTTCCTAAATTGCAAGCATTGAAGCTGCCAACAGAGAAAACATGCATCATGGGAGAAGGAGGGGAAAATCAGTAACTTGCAGGAGAAAGCATATCTAAAAATGTGGGCAATTGTATTAATCTCTTTCTGTACCTTAAATAGTTGTGCATTGGCAAAGGAGTGTTTAATGTTTTCCCTTTTCTTACTCTAACAGGGTATGCTGCTGAAGCGAAGTGGCAAGTCATTGAATAAAGAGTGGAAGAAGAAGTACGTGACGTTGTGTGACAATGGTGTGCTGACCTACCATCCTAGTTTACATGTAAGTGCATCATGCTCTCTGTGTGTTCAGCAAACATCGGGCCCTGATAAAGCAGTGGTAGCAAGTTCATCCTGATGTGGTTTTGTTGAGCCCTCTTTGGTGGAGAATCTTCTTTCTCTCTCTTCATTCCCTTCCATCTCAAAAAGGCACAATCTAAAATAAAATTCCCTAGTGCAAGTCTGAGTACAGTCAAGTTCCTTTGAATTCTGGGGTTCCCTTGCATCCCAAGAGGCAGCTGAAATGGTTTAAGCCTTTATTTTGTGCTGATGCTTTTATGGACTTCTTGTCAATCCCAGGACGTCAAAAAAACCAGAAGCCTTTTATAAGAAAAAGTGTCCTAGATGCAGTAAAGAGTGAGGGGAGTTTCTCGTATTTGTCAGTGTGCACTGCTTATGCTTTATTCAGAAGAAATTCCAAGCAGCCTTTTAAAAATGGCATAGCTATTAAAATATGTGACATAAAACATTTTCATGTTAAGGCGTCTATCATTGCCTCTGCCCAAGGATCCTGTCCCTCTCAGTATGTGTAGCACAGTCTCTGGGTACAATTTTGGGGATGGAAGAAGCACAGTGATCTGACTCAGAGCTACCCAACCCATCTGGCCCAGCCATTCAAGCAGAAGGGAAGGTGAAATTTGTCAGAGCTTGTTCCATGCCAGAGCAGTTCAAAAGACGCAGCCAACGTGGAGACTCTGGATCTCGAAACTCCCAGCAGATTCAGAGCTCCTTCCCTTGATCTGTAATACAGGCAGGAGTAAAATACAAAAAACCATTATGTGACCCTCACCAAGATCTTTGGAATCATGTCTGGTCTTACATTTTATCACCATACCACATATGAAAATCAGAGGGTGGCCAGCTGTGAAATGTTTAGGGCCAGCTGTTTATAAACCTGATGAAAATCAAGGTTTTAATCAAGTGCATTTCTGTAGATGTGCTCTGGGGCTTTCAGACCTACACATAGATCTGTCAAGAAACTTCTGCTTTAGATGGATGATGTCTGGAGCATGGCCACACTGATGCTGTGCTTGCACCAACCTGCTGTTCCCTGTCTGCTGAATATTAGCACTTTCTCTGGCTTGGCACAAGATTTCGTAGTCTGAGCTCCTGCCATAATAATGCTTTGCTATAGTTTCTGATGTTACATCCATGTCTCTTAAAAATTATTTAGTAAGTTAGATGACAACTAGCTTCAAGGCATTGCTGCTTTCCAGCAGAAATCTTGTCCCTCAGCCCTTGCGTTCTGGAGCAAGGTTTTCACTGTACCTTTTTGGGTAACCATACACATCTATCTGTCCTCTTTGGCTACTCTTACTGCCTTTTAAATTTGGAGAATTCTGCCATGAAGCAGTCCCAAAATACCTGCAATATATATTGCTATTGCTCACAGAAGGGAAGCACGGATACTGCTTGCCTTTGAGGCAGCCCTCACGGAGCTCCCACATGAGTTTCCCTCAGATTGTGTTGGCCAACTTTGGGTCATCAAGCAAGGGGGAGTCAAGCTGCCGTTGTCCGTGTGCAGGTCCCTTCCCTGCTTTGTAGAAGTGCTCTATTGTTCCTGGCAGTTGCTGTGCACGTGTTAGATTTTCATTGCCTCTTGCAGACAATAGAGTACTCCTTCTCTGTAGGCTTCCCTGGAGCTGCTTAGTCTCCCCCAGAGTGAGAATCCATTGAGATTAGAGGTAATTACTTTGAGATTAGAGGTAAATCCATTGGAGATTAGAGAGAATCCATTTAAAGAAGAAGTAATTACTAGCCTGTAATTGTTTCCCTCTATCCCCTATCGTGCCCCCTCCCACCTCAAGAAAAAGGTAGAAGGCTCCATATTTCTGTTTGCTCAGACCTCTTTGCATAGGTGGGAGAGGTTTGTAATGTACTACTTCTCCCTTGGCTGTATGTGGGTAGGCAGTGGTGAGAGACCATGCTCAGCTCCTGGCTGACAAGTAGCTCCTGGGGACTCATTCAGGAGCTTCCTGAGACACCTTTACTGAATCCACTCTGTAGGAGTACCTAGAGTTCAGCTCATTCATGTTGAAATCTTACTACAGTCTGGTTTCTCTTATAAATTATACTGGTTTCCTCTTGAATATTGCCAGGTTTTTCCCCAGACAGGACTTCAATACTGTTCTGGTTTGGTTTTGCCTGTTTCTGTCTATCTGTAGCTGCTTGGTGCTTTTTTCACAGCAAGCCAAAGAAACTGATGAATTTTTAACATTGTGCTTGCATGACTGTTTGGGATAATTTCTTGCATTGTTTTGAAAAATAAGGACCTTATTCTCACCACCCTTCCCATTAAAATGCATTGAAGTGAAGAACTTTCCTTAACCATCTAAAGTCGGTTTCCTAAACTCATAAAAAGCCTGAGTCTAATGTGACCTGTTAGTTAGCTCTGGATTATCTCAAGTATGCGAGGCCATTTGGGTATCCAAAATTTTGCAGTTGTGATTCTGTGAAGTGAAAGGTGGGCTGGCCTCTAGTGGTGGCAGAAGAAGTAAATTGGGAAGATAATTTGGTCTTTCCAGACTGCAGTTTGAGTCAGAACATAACACCTGCATCGGAAGAACCTATTATAATATTGAACGGCAGACAGTGAGCACTGTATTAAATATTGCTTGAGATTTGGCCAGAAGTGGATCAGTTGTTTCTGTCAGGCGCGTTCAGTGACGGCTCAGACACAAAGGCAGTGTTCTTAATGTAGAGAATGTGACCATATTGCAGAAACCAGTACTGTCATCCTCCTTGAAAGGACTGGCTACAGAATGAAAGGTTTTGGGATGGGGAGTGAAAAATCAAATTAGTACCTTTCTTACAGAGGAGATGTCCCTGGAAGGGTCAGGCCTGTTTGGCAGGGCAGCATGTTGAAATGACTGCTGTATTGTGCCAGCTAAATGAGTAACTACTAATGCCACCAGGTTGATGTTTGACACAATAGCTAAATTCATATTCCTTCTTTTCAAGAAAGTGGGGGGAGAGAAAAATGGGGGAAGAAAAATATACGTACATAAGCACCCTACTGTTTTCTGACTTGGTCATGTCAGGTTTTTTCAAGAGCCTCAAACCTTCCCATCCCTTGGGATGCTGAGGAGCTACGCTGTTAGAAAACGGTGGGGATAATGAGAGAGAACTTTGACCTGCGGGCTTCAAAGTTCACCATAGCTACCTATTCATCTTACGCTTCTGGAGTATAGCCATTGAGTGGATGACTAAAATTCTGGCTGACAAAATCAGCGTCAGCCTCACCAAAGGGACCCAGGGGAATTTGTCTAGGCATCTCTTGGCTTCTAATGGCAGAATGCCATGTGCACGGGCTCCCAAAATGTGTTCGCCAGGACACCCGCTGGGCAGTGTTACCTGCTGCTGCTTTATCTACGCCTTATCCCGATGAATAGCTGATGATGTTTCACCACTCTCTGTCTGCCAGAGGGTTACCATCACACCACAGGTCAGTAGATGACAAAGCTTTAGCTGTGGATGTCTATTTTTCTGCTCTTTTATCCCCATCATCATCACTGCCCCTTGTTTATGAAAATAATTTTTTAAAAAAAACAAACCTGAAAACAGCTTTTTTTTTTTTAGACGAGGGTGTTTTTCCCCCCCATTTTGTATTTATTCTGGTCTAGATTTACTTTCAAATAAAAGCACAGTGCTGTGGCACCTTATGAGGAAAGAACAGCTTCTTAAATGCCCTTTACAACGGCATGTAGTGATAGGACAAGGGATAGTGGTTTCAAATTGAAAGAGGGTAGATTTAGACTAGATATTAGGAAGAAACTCTTTACTGTGAGGGGGCTGAGACACTGGCACAGGGTGCCCAGGGAAGTTGTGGATGCCCCCTCCCTGGAAGTGTTCAAGGCCAGGTTGGATGGGGCTTTGAGCAGCCTGGTCTGGTGGGAGGTGTCCCTGCACATGGCAGGGGCTTGGAACTGAATGGTCTTTAAGGTCCCTTCCAACCCAAACCATTCTGTGATTCAATGTAATACAAGAGAAGGAAGGTCCAGTGCCCATCACTTGAAGGTCATCTGGAACGTGCATGGTATGTAAATACCATGTACCTGGCTAGCAAGGTTTCCTTTTGCTTGCTGAGGTCCATATTGCAGCACTGCCGCTCTTAAACCTTGCTCCCATCCTCACTGATCTAGTTGGATCCTCACTAGTTGGATAACCAGCACCAAGGTGTGTAGTGACTGAGGGGCAGAAAGCCTATCTGTGTCTCCTTGATAAGCCTATGGATTCAGCTGGGCTGCTCAGTTCATCTGACAGTAGCCACCGTTTCAAACTCTTCCTTAAAAACGGTGTTTACTGGGTGAGCAGCCTACATGAGCTAGCTCAAAGGGAACATCAGCAGTGTTGTTCTGTCAGCAAATGAAGTGGGTATACGCCTTTTTTTTTTTTTTTAAATCAAAGTCTCAGACTGACAAGGAGTTATATCCAACACTGGGCTAAACTTTGTGCAAGAGCTTCTACAGTATATTATACAGACACATCTTCTTGAAAGATGATACAAAACAGATCCAATTCATGGATCTGTAACTATTTTCGAGACTTGGGTTGAGGGACTAGGCTTTTGGTTGAGCTTGGCCATTTCCTCCAGGAAAAGCAGACCTTAGGAGAAATAGGAGGCTACTGAAAGCCACAAGGATGGTGAGGGGTCTGGAGAACAAGCCTGATGAGGAGCGGCTGAGGGAACTGGGCTTGTTTAGCCTGGAGAAGAGGAGACTGAGGGGAGACATCATCACCACCTACCACCACCTCAAGGGAGCTTGTAGAGAGGTGGGTGCTGGTCTCTTCTCCCAGGTGATGGGGGACAGAACAAGGGGAAACAGCACCAAGCTGTGCCAAGGGAGGTTCAGGTTAGAGCTAAGGAGGAAGTTCTTTCCTGAGAGGGTCGTCAGAAGCTGGACCAGGCTGCCCAGGGAGGGGGTGGAGTCACCATCCCTGGATGTATTTAAAGAGCGGGTAGACGAGGTACTTAAGGATATGGTTTAGTGGGCAGACAGGAAC